CTTTCTAGATTCCACTCCATTTGTTCTCTGGTTTGCAGATAACAACAATTTTAGTATAGAGTCCAAGTTTGCTTTCTCAAATACTACCTGTCCCTTATAGTCACTTTGCCGGCTCTTTCTGAGAAAAGAGATTCTGCTGCCCCTTGTTTTGTACAGTGGCAAATTTGCCTTGAACAGCGCTTCTTGTGTGGCTGCAGGTGGAAGTTTCTAAAACCTTCTGACTCTCTGCAGGAAAATATGTGGAGTTCTTTGGCCCACTGATAAGACAAGAGAGACGGTGTCCTGATTTTTCCAACTCATTTTGTAGACATAATGCCAGCCCCTGGATCTTCACAGCAAAACAATTTCTAGCTCGTCTTGTGACAAACTGTAACCCATTACTTCACCAACAGTTTCAGAGAGGCCTCTATCCAGTTACCCTGGGAGAATAATCTCGAATTTGGTGACCTGGCTGAATTGATGACTCACTAGGGCATTCCCTATTCCCAACCCCATCCCTCTGCTCAGAGGAAGATCCTAGAGTGTCTGCTTCTTTTGGGGATCTGAGCTAGATATCCTCCCTCCTCCCTCCACCTATTTGAAAAGAGTCATTTTCTCCCAATTGTTCACTGCTTCTATTGTAGGCACAAATGAAAACATTGCTTTTAATATTTATTTTGCAACAGTAATGGGTTTCATGGATTTGAGGTACCTTGGGGGGGTGCAATTTATGTTTTTTTCTTATTGCCCTTTTATAAGAATTAGAAGAATAAACACACAAGCTTATGAACCCACCAGCAACTTGTTTGGACACTCACTTAGGCCCTTTAATTGCCATTTTTCTAGTCTCATCAAAAGTTTTTTTGAGGGGAGTATAAGAAGTTAGTACCCCTGAAGAAAAGCAACTCCTGGACTTTTTTGTATGCATCAAAATCTCTAAAGAAACTTACAGGATTTGCAGACCTTTCCACTTAGCAACATCAGTGGCCTGGCCAAATCCTAAACTTCCAAGCCTAATCTCACTTTCAGGAATATCCACATAGGATCAACTCAGCAGCAGCATACAGATATGGATTCCCCTCCCCCTTCAGAACAGGTGTTTCTTAGCTAGAGATAAAAACTGGAGAATAATGCATTAGCCTCAAGATATGACTTTCCCCATTTTGTCCAGTGAAGACATCTTGGCACCAAGCGAGCACCACCATGTTTACCATTGAATGGACAAGAACAGCTGTCATTCACCTGTCACTTAGTAACAACACATATCTGCAGGTGTAGATTGTTTACACAGGCTTAGTCCCACTTTAGCATAAACTACATTAAAGCGTGCTAACCCACCATCAGTTCAGAATATTACAAAGTCATATTCATAATAATTTCAAATATTGAATTGAATTTTCTCACTTAAAACTGAACCATACCTACCAGAGAGGTATTAAATTAATTCATCAATCAAGACAAAAAACAATATAGCAATGGATTTTCATATTACACAACTAACAACACACTTATGTTTCAGTTTATGGACATCCACTCAAGTATAAACCTTAAATAGTTTGATACAGTTTTTCAGAATAAGTGCTCACAAAATTACCCCTTTAAATGGATCAGGATAAACCTCTGTATTGTCCACTAGGATTGTTTAATAACTGATCAACTGAGAACATGTAGCAATTTCACATTCTGTAAAATGGAAAGAAATTCAATTGTTTCTTCATTTATTTTCTTATTTATTTACTGCATCTTACAAGTCACTCCAATCCAATAAGACTTGGAGCATGACCAGTATTTCCAAAGTAATATGTCTAAGATCTGGGCATTCAGTTCAATGCTCTCTCTCTCTCCCTCTTCTCCCTCTCTCTCCCCCCCTCTCTCTCTCCCCCTCCCCCTCCCTCCCTCTTTCTCCCCTCCCTTTCCCTCCTCTTTCTTTCTCTTTCCCTCTCCCCCTCTCACTTTCTTCCTCTCTTCCTCCCTCCCTATCTGCAGAATAAGATAAAGTATCTTTTACAGCTTATTTTCTATATTTTTCAGTTTTAGTATTCCACACTGAATAATTGGAATAATTATTCCACACTGAGTGCTAAGCACTTTCACCTATCAAGTGAGAATCCTGAATGAATGAATGTTTAGCTTAGTCCTTAGTCCTTTTGAAATGGCGGCTGTCCATCCTGGCTGACAATGATAAAGGTTGAAATTTGACAATTTGCAAAGACATTAGGTGTGGGGAGATTATTTAGATCTTGTTCCATGAAATGTATGGGCTCTCCTTTATATTATTTCCATCTGGATCCCCAAACCCTTGAAGATTTCTTTCTTTAGGCTCTCAAATATATACTCAGCAGAACTTTCTCTGAGGGTGCCACAGCTGAACCAAAGAGAAACCTATCTAGAAACCCTGCCAGGAATTTCCTGAGTAGTTTGGTTTTAGTGCTAACTGCCATGATTGTTCCAACCTGTCGTTAGCTCCTATTCTAAATATTTTATGATCATGCTACCTTGGACTTCTGGAAGTTGTACATGTCTGGAAGATATGGGGTCAGGGTGATCTGCCTCCCTACAGAATGCTATTTTCCAATGAGATAATTTCCACAGCAGCAAATAGAGAAACTTCATGGTTCTTCAGAGGTCTTTCATCTGATGCAAAAGACAATTGCCCAGGAAACCTTCAAAAGAGGAAATAATGTTAACAGATGGGCAACATTATACAAGGCTGTGTACATTAAGAAAAGAACTGCATCATAGAAATATTGCAGAAGAAAATGGATGGATTGGGCACTGGATGGGAAACCCTTGAGGCTATGAAATGACAGGTTCTGAGGAAAGCCAACTTCTGCTAGCTAGGGGGATATGTAGGTTTCACGATATGAAAATTCCCAGCACTGCATATATTGCTCATAGATGGAACCATGTATTTAGGTATATAAAGCAATATATTGGTACTACTGATTTACTTACAATTACAAATTCACTTGAAAATAGTAAAATATACTTATATCTTGTTGCATCAACCATAATCATAATAATCTCCTGTTGTATTTTAACTACAATACTAACAAATGAGTTACCAATTTAATGGGGTGAAAAAGTTGATAAACAGCAACTTTTGAAAACAGTAATGGAATGCAAAAGGAATTCTCTGACACTCTCTAGTTATATTTTGCTTTTGCACAACTACTTAGTATTCATTTAGACTGACTGTGCCAAAAGTTCTCAAAAGTCAATAATTGAAGAAAAAAAAATTGAAAACATTTTCAGGTAGAAATGGCCAGTGAGATGCAAACACAGAGATACAACTTTCATACCTATTGAAGTGAAATCCTAATAGTGCCATCTTATATTAGCACACTTTGTTTAGATCGCAGGCCTGGAGGGTTACAGCTGAGTCTCTCGAAGCCATAATATTTTTGATAAACTATTTCATTAACTGCAGAAATTGGAATGACTGTAAACTATAACAGACATTACAAGAAGGCACATGCTATCTTGGGGATGTATATCTCTAAATATTGAGTTAGGATATGAGTGCTAGTTTTCTATTATTAAAAATGCTTCTTCTTGAACAAATGTTCCCTATGAACAGGAACCAAAGAGAGGCAGTAGAACAACACAAGTTTAACATGATCATCCAGGAGAAAAATCCATTACTGCAATCAAGACATAAATCAGAGAAAGAGAGTTTATTTAGGATTTCAATTTAGGACTTCAATTTAATTTATTTGGGCAATTAAATGATACAAGACTTACTACCAATAAAACATACAAAGGATTTCCTCTATGTGTTTATTGTTAATGTTAACTACCAGATTTCAAAAAGAGTTTAAAATAATTTCCCTATAACTCAGTTTTAACTAGTTTACCTGAGAATTATTTATAGCACCATCACACACCTCTCATTCATAATGTTCATAAAAGATTGTGCAGCAGCTATTTAGTTGGCAGTGCCCTTCTCATCACTTCCAATAATCAAGTTCAATGAGTCCTTCTTCCATGCCTCCTCCATACAACATGGGTGTGCTCGAGAACACTCCTAAAGTTAGTGTGCTGGAGATAAACCCTGTCCCACAGGGTTAATCTAAAAGTTTACTTTATCTTTCCCAGCACCTTTTTTTACGACTGGCTCGCCTGCATGCACACACACACACATGCGCCCACACAAACACCCCACTGCCTTAAAAAAGGCATGGGTAAAAAGAGAAAAAGAACCTTTCTGAGATTAGATACAAACTCCAGTTTGGGAGCAAAATTATATTTGCAGGTTGCCAACTTTCTATCAATCCACTCGCGAACGCTATCCTCTCCCCGTTGAGATACACGCTGTGTCGGGCTAAACTGTAGGCACCGCCGTCTCTCTCTGTGTGTGTGTGTTTGTGTGTCTGTGTGTGCGACTGTCTGTGTCGCGCGCGCATTTCAAATTTTGAACAGCTCGATCTGATGGTGGGTAAAACGCTGCCTGAATCCTGATTCCACTGAGAACCGCTGGTCTTTGTGGCATATGACCTCCAAAAGGTTATTGTAGCAATTGTTGCCGTTATTGACGGCGCTATTGAAGTAATTGATGGCTATTACCGCTTCCTTCAGTTGGTTCTGTTGTTGTTGTTGTTGTTGTTGTTGCTGTTGTCGCCGCTGCTCCTGCTTGGGTAGAGTTTTAATGGTGGCTCTGACCCCTTCCGTGGCCCCTCCCAGAGATTCACACCCCCTCCGCCCCCGCCCTTCCCTGCCAGCTCCAGAAGAGTTTGTACTTCTCACCTCCGGACGTCACTCCTCAATTGCGCCATGCAAATCGTCCCCCGCCGGCGCCCTCCCATTGGCCAAGGCAAACTCATTTAATCCCAGTTCGGTGCGCCTTGTATGGCTGCTGGGCTCGTCTCTCGCCGAATCTCTCGGCTGCTCCTCCTTTCCTGGTTCCTCCGGGCGCGAGGAGGGAAACCACCGAGAACAAATTGTTGTGCAAGTTCTGCTCCCTGGCTGGAGGCTCTTTCTTTTCTCCTCCCCTTCTCTTCTTCCTATATTCTCCCTCTTTCTTTCTTTCTTTCTTTCTTTCTTTCTTTCTTTCTTTCTTTCTCTCTCTCTTTCTCTCTTTCCTTCTTTCTTTCCTTCTTTCTTTTTTTCTCCCCCCCTCCTCCTTTCCCTCGGTGCTTATCATTTAATTACGTCTCTTTTCTCCCCCTTTTTAATTTTGCGGGAAGCCGAGGTGATAGAGGGGGAGGGGGGGTTTCCTGTCTCTTTCCCTCCGTTCACTTGGGACCGGCGGATGCGAGTCACACACGCTCCCTCCCTCCCTCCACGCTCTCCCTCCCTCCCTCCCTCCTCTCTGCCTCTCTGCCGGTGGAAGTTAGCAGAGAAGGGGGGGGCCATTAGATCACTTCGGCAGCGGCGAGAAGGAGGGGAGTCCTGCCTGCGAAGCGCGCGTCTACCAGGCGAGGGAAGGAAAAGAAGCGTTGAGAGTTGGGCTCCCATTTTCTCCGTTCTGCTCGGCGCAGTGGAGCTGCGGGACTTTCGCTGTTCTTTAGCCAGCTCTCCGCCTTGCACCTGTTCGAGTCGCCTTCGCAGCCGCCGTTTGCCTCGGGCCGAGGCGGTCCCCGGAGGAAGAAAGTTTTGCTGCCGCCTGAGGAGATTCTCGCGCGCGCGCTCCCGCTCTTTCTTCAAGCTCACAGGGACCAGCCGAAGTGCCCCCACAGGCAGACTCTCGGGGGCTCCCTCCTCCTCCTCCTCCTCCTCCTCCTCCTCCTTACCTTTGATCGTCGTAGTGCACTCTTATACCATTTCTTACGCCTCAGCACCTCGTCTTCTCTCCCGGGCTCCTTCGTCTGTGTTTCGCTTCGCCCCTCCGCTCGGCAGACGCCCGGCTCCTTTGCTCTATGTTTTGACATTGTGGAGCCTGGTGGCCCCTAGCAAACTGCGTGAATGTATAGCATGATGATGGAGGCGGACATGCACTCGCCCGGTGGAGCCCAGGTCACCACCAACCTTTCGGGCCAAACCGGTGCGGGAGGAGGCGGCGGCGGAGGTGGCGGCGGCGGGGGGGCCCAAGGCCAACCAAGACCGAGTCAAGAGGCCCATGAACGCCTTCATGGTTTGGTCGCGGGGCCAGCGGCGGAAGATGGCCCAAGAGAACCCCAAGATGCACAACTCCGAGATCTCCAAGCGCCTGGGCGCCGAGTGGAAAGTCATGTCCGAAGCGGAGAAGAGACCCTTCATCGACGAGGCCAAGCGCCTGCGGGCGCTGCACATGAAGGAGCACCCGGATTATAAATACCGGCCGAGGAGAAAGACCAAGACTTTGCTAAAGAAAGACAAATATTCGCTGGCCGGCGGGCTGCTAGGCGCCGGTGGTCCCGGGGGCGGCCCTCCGGTAGCGATGGGCGTAGGAGTGAGCCCCGCCGGCGTCCAACGCTTGGAGAGTCCCGGTGGAGGTGGCCCCGGGGGTGGCGGGAGCGCCGGCGGAGGTGGCGGAGGCTCAGGCGGTGGCTATCCGCATATGAACGGCTGGGCTAACGGCGCGTACCCGGGCTCGGTGGCGGCGGCGGCGGCGGCGGCGGCGATGATGCAAGAAGCACAGCTCGCTTACAGCCAGCACCCAGGCAGTGGTGGCCACCCGCACGCCCACGCTCATCACCCGCACCCGCACAATCCCCAGCCAATGCACCGCTACGATATGGGCGCCCTCCAGTACAGCCCCATCTCCAACTCGCAGGGCTACATGAGCGCCTCGCCGTCGGCCTACGGCGGCATCTCCTACGGCGCCCAGCCACATCAGAACTCGGCTGCTGCGGCCGCCGCGGCCGCCGCAGCTGCCGCGGCCGCTTCGTCAGGAGCTCTCGGCGCGCTGGGGTCCTTGGTCAAATCCGAGCCTAGCGTGAGCCCACCCGTCACCTCAGCGCACTCACGGGCCCCTTGTCCCGGGGACCTGCGCGAAATGATCAGTATGTACTTGCCCGGCAGCGAAGGCGGGGACCCAGCAGCCGCCGCCGCCGCCGCTGCAGCCGCGGCCGCTGCCCAAAGCCGGCTCCACTCTTTACCCCAGCACTATCAGGGCACCGGCACGGGGGTGAACGGCACCGTGCCCTTGACGCACATCTGAGACGGACCGAAGGATGGACGCCGCCGCCGCCGCCGCCGCCGCCACTGCAGCCAAAGGGGATGTGGTCCTTGGAGCGGGCTGGCTCCCTCTGCGCCATCCCTTTTCCCAACTCTTCCCCGCAGCCCCTTTTGTACAGAACCAGGGCGATGCTTTGAAGTCCTTATAATTATTATTATTATTATTATAACAAACATTCATAGTACAAAGGATAATGAAGAGAAAAGGTAACAGGTTGCTGTAATGCTAACTCCTTCTCGTGTCTCCCCCAGCCCAAAGAACTAGGTTTTGAAACCAGTGGGGGTTATTATTATTATTATTATTGCTATTATTCCTTCTGTTGTTGTTTTAGACGAACTGTGTTTTAACTGAGATTTTTTTTCCTTTTGTACAGTATTTATCATTCACCCACAAATCACATAGCCTTTTTATTTACTAAGCAGTATGGGGATCGGGAGAGAAACCGAGAGAAGAAAATGCTAATTATTATTAATAATTCAAAGGTTTAGGTGATGCCAACTTCTTTGCCATATAGAAGCATTAACTGGTCGCTATTGGGGCAACTTCTTGTGAAGATTTTAAAGCCTAATTAAAGAAAAAATAAAGTCAAGAACCATCTTAAAACTTTTTGGGGTGCTTCTTATAAAGCAGGGTTCTTTTGGTTCTGTTTATTTATAAGGGTTTTTGTTTCATGATCAAGAACAATATTCTGAATTTTGTAAATGTTTCTTATGTCTGCATTTTTCTTTTGGTAACTTTTTATATTTTTTTCTTGTAAATGCATTGTGGAATAATTTTAATTAATTTTAGGCATTAAAAGGGAATTCATAAATGTGTATATAGTTTACTAAAAAGCATTTTCGCTGAAGAAGAAAACAAATAAAAATCTAAAGATAAGTTTGATTCTGAGTTAAATCAATTTCAAAATAAAATTGGAACCAGGTGATCCAAAATATACTAATTCATGACATGCCTTTAAACTGGACACTTTGTATGTTTAAATATAACTGGAAAAGATCGGTAACACCAAAAATCTAACATGGGGTAGCCTTTCATGGTTTTTATTTTAAAGCAGTTAGATCTAGTGATTTAAAGGCACCACGCTACAAAAAGGAGACTGAGTTCTAGTCCCAAACCGATTGGGTGACTTTGGGCCAGTCACTCTCTCAGCCCAACTTACTTCATAGGGTTGTTGTTGTTGTGGAGAAAATAGGAGGAGGAAGGAGTATTAAATATGTTTGCCACCATGAGTTATTTTTAAAAAATATTAAAGGTAGAATTTTTTTTTAAAAAGCAAATGGAGGAAAGTGGGGTTTTTAATTTGTTTTTAAGTGGTGTAGGTTTGGGATATTATTTTAATATCTGTGCAGTATGGCTAAAGAAGGCAATGCAGTAAGTCATTTCTAGACTGTATTTCATTTATTTTGTTAAATTATGTAACTGCTTGGTAAACATAAATAAGTTTTTGTCTAACTTCTGTTTCTTCAGTTAGCACCAGAGTTTTAAAAAGTTTGGACAATGCCTCTCTCTCCCCCAGCTCCCAATTTCTTTCACTCCACACTGTGTTTGTGGTATTTAGATGAAAAACAATTTCTTGTATGAATATTGATCAAGTTTAGGCACAATGAAGGATAGCTAACATTTAAAAAATGGTTTATATATTGCCCCAGCAAAATGATCTTTTGGCGGAGGGTAAATGCTGTTACATTCAAGTAATATATTTGTTTGCAGACATTTCTGTTGTTTAACGTTTTAAATTTTACTTTTAAAGTTATTTCTTCCATGGCTAAAATGAAGTTAGATATTAAACTTGACAGAATACTAAAGCCAAAGGTTAGGTTGCAGATTATAATTATTGCTTCAGCTTGAAAAAAAAGAAAGAAAAAAAAAACATATAAGGAAATCATGCCTGTTAATAGCCTGGGTGGGGGATGGCAATGAAGTCCAGAGGAAAAATATTGGATAAAGTAAATATTTAATATTTTATTTGTGTCCATTGCCTGCAGTTCCTGAAACAACTTACTCAGAAATAACCACTACTGAATCTCTATGAAACCCTTGGGTAGGTGCCAGTTTATTCCAGAGTAAAACCTTTGACAGATGAGAAGCCACACACATTTTCTGGAAGTAAGCCCCTCTGGTTTCAGCGACATTTATTTTGAAGTGATGTGGTTAACAACCGCAAGAGCTGACTGATTGAATTTCTTTTAGAAACTGCTTACATTATATTGTTTTGCGGTCTAAGCAATAGCCATCTTTATTTAAATGATTAGTTTTCTTTATAGATTGGGGGTTTTGTTTGTTTTTTTAAAAGGAAATAAAATATATTTCCATTTTGCTTGCTTATTTTATTCAGTACAATTTTGATCTTCGATGAATTCTACCTCTACCCTGTACGCACACACACTTTTCTCTGATGCCCCCCAGTACTGCAGGTGAATGTTTTGAAGTGGTACCCTTGTGGCATCAGTGGATCTATGTATCATTTCCCAACCGAGATTCTGCCAAGGAAAGGCTGCTTCTTCTGGATAAACCAATCGGTGCTTGATCTGCGCTTTCTCTCTCCCTGTCACATTGCAGTGTGTTGGTTGAGAAGACAGAGAAAGGCAGAAACATTCCAAAATTGCACCTTTACTTCAATAAACCTGTTCTCAAAGTATAGAGGCTTGCAATCTGTGCAAATAATCGGTGAGGATCTTCAGTTACAGTTCATTAAATTGGCAGCTGTCAGATCCAGATCTGATTTTGTAGAGAAATGTAATAAACCTCTTAGCGTTTGAGAAAGTAATCTGCATTTCTCTTTGCATACAAACTACCCCAGGAACTGGGGGAGGTGGGGTGAGGGAAGAAGTGAATGGGGAAAGGTTAAATACCAGATGTACTACCTCCACATTCCGGCATCAGGTTTGGTATTTCAAATCTCTTGTTCTGAGCATTAGCTCTGGGTGTTATACTGTAATAACATCTGCGGTGCTATTAATATATTCCAATTAACCTCCTAATTCAAATATACCCCCAACCCTTAAAACATTTAACTTTACTGGTATTACAGAGAAACAATTCGGGCCAAAGTATAGTATGTTAAAGATCCATTGGGAAATAATGAAGTGTGTGCTTGTTGATTGTCCAACTACAATCAGTTGGACTAAAAATATTTAGTTTTGGTTGCCCAGTGTCCTTATATTGCTAGTGGTCATGATATGAGAAAAAAGACTACCTTTATTAGATTTGTTCAGTTTGTGTCTGAACAATTAGTGTGTTTCTATTTTTTTTTAATCTTTCTAATCCTCATAGAATAAATCCCAATAATAATAAAGTTAGAAGTAAGGTTTTTTTTTTTTTTAAGGAAATTGCCTGTTATTGAGTGAATAGAGACAACTAAACTAAACTGTAAACGATTGTTTTATTTTAAATATTTCTCCTTTGGAATTGTTCACCCTACAGTTTGACTGGCAAAGCTATTAAAACCACCTGTGTGGGTTCCTTTCTACTGAAGGCTGCTTCTTCAGTGCTACCGAGACGTTATTCCAGATCAACTTAGAGGCAATGAAGCGTGAGGGACGGTGGATTTTAGAAGTTCGGATACCCATGCTTCGGGTCTGTAGTGGGGAACGAGAACAATACCCCTCCTCCCCCGGCCGGCTTCTCTCGCGCGCTCCATCCGGGAGGAGGAGGAGGAAGAGGTCAAAACCTTAGCCCGCAAACAAATCCAACGTTCCCAGGTAGATTTGAGCCTCTTTGCTGTTTTGGAGGACGCAGGGCGTTTCCGGGCCACTGATGAGAACTCGCAATGCTGCTCCAAGGACAACCTCAAGTCGAATTTCAAGCAGCCCCTTCCCCTGCCCTCTCCATCAGACAGCCTTCTTTCTGGCCCGTTCAGATCTTATCTTAGCCAAGTGGGAGGTGGGAACACTCTGAGATCTGCTTAGAGAACCGTGAAAAACGCACAATGAAGCCCCAGCCGGAGCACTTGGGACGGGGGCGGGGGCAGGGTCAGGAGGGAAGGGGTGGAGAGGGGCGACCAATCTGCCCTTTCCCAGCCTTTCTTGCCGACCATAGCAGACCGCCAAGAAGAAAAGAAAAACCGAATTCGGCGCGCAGTAAACGTTGATGTGTATTCCATAATTAGCAGTTAGGTAATCCTCTCTGGCCCTTCTGGTAACAAAAGTTCTGCGCCTGAAAGTTGTTCTATTTATTCTAACATCAAAAATTTGCTGTCGGGACGGGATACAGTAGATCTTGTGTGGGTTGAATTAACGCCCCAAGCTACTATCCCCTTTGCAACTTGACTAACTCTCCGGAATCTTTTTCCTCTTCCCTTGGTGTGCCCGATCATTTAATCCTTCCAGATTCTCTTTCTCGGCCTTCACTTGGGAGTCCTTCGTTTTCTGACACTCGCGTCCCACCTTCTGCGATCTCCCCAACTTCAGCTTTTGCCTTTCTTTTACTATTCCTTATCTCCGAGAGCGCCTTTCCCACTCCAAATCATCGCTGCCCTGCCCCCCGTTATTAAGTCCATCTCCTTTCCCAGAAGCGCCTGGTGGGAAGAGGCTAGTGCTGCGGAGCAGCTTTGCCTGGAGAGGGTTGACGGCCAGGGAAACAGAGAGTCGCCCTTAGGGCTGCCTACGACCGATACCTTCGCCAGTTTTGAGGGCCGCGTTTCCAACTTCACCAGTTCTTTTTCCCCGACCCGTGTCTTCTCCACCAGAGCTATCCACTGATTTGCCATCGATTTCGTACAACTCTTTTAGTACCCTTTAGTGCCCAAATTCCGGAGACCTCCTGCCAAACCAACCGAGAGAATAACTAGGGAGAGTCCCGGAGGTGTTGCTGTTGACCATTCCCCTCCCTAATCCGCAGAGTAGTCAGAGCCAAGGAGGACCCCGGGGGAAATCAGGCAGAAGTCTCCCAGGCAGGCCTTGACTTCCCTGGGAGTGAAATACCTCGCCACAGCAAACAAGTCTTGCGGCTGTTTCTTGCTACCGAACCCTCCCGTCGCCTCAGCCTATCGAACGGCTGGGCCGGTAAATCCCATGGAAAAGAATCACCCCCAATGCCGTCGCAGCTGAGTCTCGACCAGCCACGCACTCCTCGTTTTCCTCCATCACCCCTCCCGTTAACTCAGTCTGGGCCTGCCTTCGCTGGCCATCCCCCGCAGTCTGGCTGCGCTCACTTCCCTCCGGGGTTCCCCCCCCCCTTCGTTCCTCTCTTGGGACGGTCCTCCGTGGCTTTTCGGAAGCCCTTCTCCTGTCATTGAACCGGCCTTCCCCAGAGGTAAGTGACGAGCCTCTCAGCTCTCCGCGAATAGATAGCGGAGCTCCTTGTTTTGAGCGCCTCAGGCCTGGGGGCGGGAGCGCAAGGGCTGGAGGCAGGGCAGGACAGGGCGGCAGTGCGAAAAGTGGAGGGAGAGGGAGAGGAGAGTGTTTGCAGAACGTGGGATTAAGCAAACCGGAGAGATCTGACCCCGGGATCAACGGCTAGTCAAACCTATTTACGATCACCCGGCCTCCAAAAACCGCTGATGGCTCCCACTGCTGTAAGAGGCTTGCCGGGCAAGAAGTGAAACTGGAGCCCCCTACTGCGCGCGCAGGGGGGAGGGGGAGGCGAATCTGGGCCTGCCTTTTGGTCACGGCGCTCAGGCGCGGGCCCGAAAAATGCTGGCTCTGGCGCGAAGAAGAAGCTGAACTGGGTGGCCATTTTGGGAGAAAATCATTGGCGGTTGTGGCGCAGGGACCGGCCCAATCTTTAAGCGGCGGGATTCTGGTTTCCTCGGGCAGAGCCGGGCCAGGACTGCCAATACTCTTGGCAAAACAATTCCTCCCTAAGGGACCGGGCTCCTTCCCGAATATTGTTCACTATTGACAATCCTTGGCAGGACAATTAAGAGTGGAACCAAGGTTTCAGTAGTTGGATATCTTTATAGACTACCATTTAACTGGACTATTGATTTCAAAGCGAGAAGAAAGGATGGGTGTATTGGGAATGTCAGATGAACTTTCTGCCTCCAGGCCTTTCCGAATGTGTGGGGGTGTGAGCAGTCTTGAGTTGTGTGATTGCATAGACAAGCCCCTGAAGTTTTTCTGGCGGGTTTTCAGAAGTGGCCATTGCCATGGCCATCTTCTTCCTATAACTGAGGAAGAATGATTGGCCCAGATCGCCTCAGTAGCTTCCATGCTTAGTGAGAACTTAGTCCTCAGAGTCTCCCACTTATATCTTTAACCACACCATCAGAGCCATTAAAAAAACCTCACTCTTTCTGACAGAATTTCAATCTTCTTCCAACTTTGAGAACCAAAAGACTATGGTAAAAATGAAGAAACTGGCAGGGATTTGGATGAGAGCTTCCTGTATCCCCTGTCCATGCCTCCACCTAAATCTATCTTCAGATCTCTCTGAAAGCTTGCATATAAGAAGCTGTTTTGTCTGACAAAGCATCCAGAGATAAATAATCTCTTATGAAATTCTGCCATATGATGTTTCCAGGAATATGGGCAGGGTTGGGGAACTTGTAGCCTCAAGATGCTGGTGAAGTCTTAACTCCCTTCATTCTCAACCGGTGTCATCAAAAGTAAGTAAAAGTTGGGGGCTGGAGTTGCAATTCCTTCTTCCTATGGTAGGAAGTTGCATCTGGCAAATGGGAACAAAACAAGCAACACCTACGAACAGCAACCTGGCAGCCTCCAGAGGCACTTAATTACAACTCCCTTTGTTCTAATTCACACTGCCTGGGGATGGTGGGCTTTGTAGTTCAGTACATTTGTAGTTCAGAGTGCCAAGTTGGGAATGATTACCTTAAGATGATTGGTGCTGATATAATTGAAGGATAGCATTTTGCAGGCCAGTTACTTATACGCAACCTTTCCACCCTGTTTTCTGGATGTTCTCCCCTACTCCTTATCTAAAATAGCTAATTTTAAAAAGGGGAGATTACCATAAGTAGCTCCATAGATCTGTGGAAAAATAATTGATGTACTAACAAAAGGGAATATATGTGGGAAACTAGAATTGCTTTCTTGTCGGGGGGAGGGGGGGAGGAAACATCCAGCTCTCTGGATTTAATAACAACCATTAAATGAGGACCCAGTTTGTGGGGGCAATAAGCTGACTTTGTATAAATATACAAAAGTATGAAGGCTATTGCTTAACGCACTGTAAGCCGCCCTGAGTCTCCGGAGAAGGGCGGCATATAAATCAAATTAAAAAAAAAAAAAAAAACCACATGAAAAATAAATACCACAACTGAAATTAGGCTGAAGAAACTCACAGATCATGATAATGCAGATAATTTCATTGGAGAAGTAAACATATTAGACAAATGAAACTCCAACCATGGCAAC